GTGAAGCTCATAGAAGAAGGAAGGATTTCAAAGGGTGTATTACAAATGTAGTTTTTAAAAATAGTGACTTATGCTAGTGAGACATTCAGATGGGAATACATTGACAACAGGTGGTGATGCTGGAATGAAAATCAGGGAAGAAATTATAAAGATTGGGGACTCTCCTGCATAATTAATAATTGAATATGTGGGAGGGAACAAGATCACCCAGGAAGAGAGTATGCAGAGAAAAGAAGGCCCAGGACAGTCTTGGATGATACCCATTTGCAGTGGGAGGAAGTTGGGTGATGATCCATCAAATAAAGTGTATACAGACCAAGAGAGCAATAGAGGGCATTAATGTCGCCGAAGCAAATGGGGATGTTGTAATGGTCACTGAATTTAGCAATTCAAAGGTTGTTGAGGACCTTTAAGAGAGCCCTTTTAGGTAAGACTCTCAGTTAGGAACTCACGTGTCAAAGAATCCAGAAGGTAGTGGGTGGAGAGTAAATAAAGGGAGTGATCATTGTTTGCTCTAGTGATTAAGCAGTGACACCAAGGAGATATATGGAGTTCTTGCTTGAAGAGAGTAAAGGTTTAATAGTAAAAGGTTTATTTTATTTTATTAGAGTAATACAGCTTTAGAAACTGAGAAGTAGCCAACATATAAAGGAAAAATTGAAGATGAAAAAGAGAAAAAATGATTGTGGGTAGGATTATTTTTAGCTGGCAGAGTCAAGAGTTTGTGCATTGGTAGCAACAGGGAAAATTCCATAGAAGGGATAGTCCCTTGAATTTGGCATTGAAAGGAGGTAGAATAATATAGTGAAAAGAATATGAATTGGGTAGTGAGAGTAGGATAGAGAATGGAGATTGGACCTATGATTTCATTGGTACAGAGAATTCCCAGATGAGGAAACTCCTTCTATCAAAGCATGTCATCAACTTCTCTGCAGTTTAGAACCCTGAGAGTTTGAGTCACTTGCCTCAAGTAACATAGCTAGAGATCTTCCTACTGTGAAGCCATAATGATAAAGATACCTTCTGATGTGTGGTGGCTTCATAACCAAAATCACTCAGTTATAATTAGTATGAATTACTAGCAAAGAGATTTAAGAAGAAAGCTATCTTATATGCTGTTAGATAAGGAAGTAAAAACAGGATTTGCTTCTGACATTCTTTTATGAGTTATTCTTGAAGTCAGAAGATAAATCATACGTTGAGTTATATATTTATTAAAGTAACCTGTTTCCAGTAAGTGAGAAAAACAATTAATTCTGGAAGTGAACAACTAGGAATTGCATTTTTTCCAAAGTCCCAGGTGACAAAAGTCTTTTTACTTACTGTATAATTTTTTACAATTCACTGTCAGAGAACTTTCATCCAGATGCCTTTATTCAGATAAACATGAATTATAAGTGCAAAGTTTGAGGCCCAAGGGTAATTAATTGTTTAAGGGATGGAGATGAATGGAAAATCAGTGGTGTATTACAGTGATGAAGACCTAATAGATGCTACATTAATACTTGCATAATTATTGCATATTGTTAAAATTCTCAATGTTTTACTTTCAAAGGTAAAGGACATCTGAACATATCTAGGGCTTAATGGGCCCTTCCATCTGTTATGTTTCATTGGCATAATCTTTGAGAAAACAGGGTGACTTCTCCACCATGATGAAGCATTGAAATTGGACTTCAGTGTACTATTATCTTTAAAAAAAATATGGATAGGCAAAACATAAAGGCTGAAATGCCTCCTTGGTACAAATAGGTATTAAACTTACTTTATAAGTCTGCAAAGCTTATAACTTATATTGACTTAAAAATAAAATTGACAGTAGCAAGCCTCATTAAAAGCAGATGGACCAGACTGAAGATTAGATAGATTAGACCTAGAGATCAGAAAGACTTATCAGGGAAAGTGTTTAGTGAAGGTTCCTGGTGCTAGCAATAAGAGGAAGTCAGACAGGACATGGATAGTTGTACCTTTTATGGGTAGGAAAGTCCATAAAAAGGCATCAGGAAGACATCTATATATAATTTTCATGATTAAAGCCAGCTGTTGAAAAAGTATGACAAGAGGCAGAAAATTTAGGTCTAGGCAGGGATGTCCACCAGTGTACTTGTAGATCTTTAGCAAAAGTATGGCAATGTAAAAATCTAGTGAAAAATCATAGTTCTAAATCCCCCCAAGCTGTTCCTAACAAGGTCTGGTAATATGAAATGAGGACTCCACCATAGGAATTCAGGTTCAGGGATGACTCCAGTCCCCATAATATTTTGTGGAAGCAAGGAAGAACTTTGTCTCAAATTAACCATAGAGTTGGAACAAGAACCAAGACAAGCACTATGGCACTAAGGTGTTCTCCTTCACATCTTACCTGGACTATTGCAATAGTTTACTAGTTTATCTCTATGGCTCAGGTCTCTCCCTTCTTGATTTTTTTGTATATAATATTTTGAAAGAGATCCTCCTAAAGTGCAGGGTCTAACCATGTTACTCCTCTACTCAATAAACTCCTTATTGACTCTAGGCTCAAATTAGAGGCCCATTATTTGGCTTTTGAATTCCTCAACTTTACCCCAACCTACCTTTCCCATCTGTTATATGCTATTCACCTTTCTATATGCTAAAGTCTAGTCAGAATGATCTTCTTGCTTCCTAACACAGGGAATTCCATCTCCAAAGCATTGTACTGACTCTCCTTTACTCCTAGAATACATTTCTACCTTGCCTATAACCTTTTTGAACCCCTTGTTTCCTTCAAACATATACTCAAACACCACCTTCTAAATCAGGGGTAGAGAAGCTGTGACCTTGAGGCCACATGTGGCCCTCTAGGTCCTCAAGTGTGTCCCTTTGACTGAATCCAAAACAAATTTGTTCATGAAGTTTGGGTTCAGCCAAAAAGCCACACTTGGGTACCTAGAAGGCCACATGTGGCCTCAAGGTCACAGGTTCTCCACCCCTGTATCTAAATGAAGTCCTTCCTGATCATCTCAGCTTTTAATGTCATTTTCTCCATAAATCTACTGTTCACTTATTTTACATAAAACTGATTTCTACTTGTCTTCCATAGTAGAGTGGAATCTTCTTGAGGATAGGCATGCTTCATTTTTAATTTTGTGTTATCCCCAATGCTTGACACACAGCAGGAACTGAATAAATATTTGTTGATTGATAGCTTGAATAAGATGCTAGTGTAAATGTGGAGTCATGATTGGGTTCTTTCAAAAAGAAAAAAGTGGCTAACTCTCAGTCCTAGAGCCATATTTGCTATGAATTACTGAGTTTTTTCAAATATATTTAAGATAATAGGATTTGGAATGACCAGCAATCTTAGATCACTTAGTTTTTATTTTGTAGGTTTGCCAGTTGGGACACAGAAAGGTTAATACATTGCCTTGCCATAGTCATACAGTTATTAAGCAGGAAAGCTGGGATTTGAATCCAGGTTGTCTTATTCCAAATCCAGTGGAGTTCTACTACATCATGCTATCCCTTCGAGATATCAGTAACTGGTATTTCCATTACCTTTTGTATTTTGGGGTAACTTCTCATATCTTGTCCTATTTTTGACTCAGCCTGTGCTTTGATTTTTGTTCCTCTCTGCTCCGTAGGCTTTAGTGCTCTTGGCTAACATCCTAGTGACTAACTTCTGTTTCTTTTTCCAATGTCTATTTTTTCTCTTGCTTTCAAATTTTATTTTTTTCAATTAGCAAAAATGTATTTTCTCTCCCATTTGTCCCCTTCCTTCATTGAAAAGAAAGAAAAAGAAAAACCTTGTAACAAATATTCATGGACAAACAAAACAAATTTCTGCATTGGTCATGTCCAAAAAAAAAAAATGTCTCAGTCTGCACCTTGAGTCTATCTCTGACAGGAAATGGGTAGCATCTTTCATTATGATCATCTGGAATAGTTTTTGGTCATTGTATTTGGTTATTTCATCTAACCAAACTTCTCTTCCATTAAACAATCTTTGATCACATTCTTATTGCCTTTAAGATAAAATCCAAATTTATTAGCATGACACAAGGCCTACATGATTGACATAAAGGGGCTACATCTCTTTTAGAGTATAGACTTAGTCATTACTGGTGGAGACTCAAGTGGGGGACATATCTGGAGGTAGGTCAGTTTCAATGCTGCTACACTTTATAGACGCTTCCCTCACCAGGATAACGGATTCAGCTCTCCAAATTAAATTATCATATACTTTGCTACTCAATGACTTCTATGCAAAGGAGAAAACAGGTTATGATGTTAAGAAATACATTAACAATATGGAACAGGTATAAGGAATAAGAGAGGCTAGCAACCTTTAGATTATATAGAAGTTTCATGACTATATCTCATGAATATGTTATTGAAGAAAAGAATCAGAATGTGCTATTCGTGGCACATTCTGAATAACATCACAAAAATCATATTTTAACAGATAGCAAAAGAGTAGTTACTGATGTGGTGATCATTTTTGAATCATCTGTCTGAGCTTAGTCGATGTAAATAAGTGTTACAGATAACTCTTCAACTTAAAGACCAGCTAACACCTTTTTAGTTAGGGCTTGAGACAGGGTGAGGTTATAGTTATACTGTAGTTCTTTTTCTTCTTGCAATTTTAAATTTTTGAGTGTATCGAATGTCTCTTTTCCTTATCATTTCTACTCTCTTTCCTCCTACTTTACTTTTCCTTTTCCCCCACTTTTGCTCCATCTTTTCCTTTACCATTCACTTTTTACTTTCTTCATTCCCCTTCTCCTGCCACAAATACATACTAACCTTGAGAAATAAACAAATAATAAACATGTGAGATGAAACTCGTGGATAGACTTGATAAAAGAGAATCCATTCTATGTCTTTGCTCAGTCCTTAACGTGTTCTTTACCTGTCATCCAGCTTTCATTCTCCCCTAGGACAATTAAAACTTACTGGTAAAATGATCCTTTTCTAAAATCAATTTGCCTTTTTTTTCTTTTAATAATAATCAGTAAAGAAATTCTAATTTTTAATTGTAGGAGCTATGCCTGTTCCAGACCAGCCTTCATCTTCAGAAAAGACTAGTTCCCTGAGCCCTGTGTTGAATACATCCAATGGGGATGGATCTGAAACTGAGACAACCTCTGCCATTCTTGCATCAGTCAAAGAACAGGTAAAATAATTTGATTTGTATGAATATTGCTGTATTATCATGCATAATATCAAATTATTTAGCTATACTGCAGCATTTTCTATTGTTTAAAGTTTCTTTGGGTTACTTACATCCATTGCATTGGTTACTCACATTGTAGAATTAATGTAATGTTGTACTACAGCAATGTGATAGGAAAAGAATTAAATAATGGTAAAAGCCTTAGGCCAGAAAAAAAAATATATATATATAGTCCTTACTACTTTATCTGTGTGACCTAGAATAAATCACCTTCCAGCTATAGTTCCTTAGCTGGTCAATGAGATGTTTGAGCTAGCTGATCTCTCAGGTACCTTACAGCTATATGATTTATATATAAATATCTATGTAGATTTTTGTGGTTATTAATATAGTCCAGCTGGAGGAAGGTCAAGTTGGATGATTATATGCGACATAAGTGTGAGCACCTACTGGAGTGTGAGAAACAAAGATAAATAGGCTGAAGTGAAAAGCTTAGGATATTTTTAATGAACTTTGTGTGTTTCTTAATTGTTACATATATGGTCTTATTAGGAATCTCTATGCAGATAGACTTCTACTGCTTTTTTTTTTCAAGTGGCTGGTTCAGAATTCTAATGGATTAAACAATTTCAGTAAAGATAATCTTTGCTTATATAAGAGAGTTCTCATACAGTTGAGAGAATAACTATTTGAACTCCTGGTTTTACCATATCACTTTTACTTATAAGAAGTAGATAGCAATGACTTGCTGTTCTAGTCTTCTCCCCCTTCTCTAATTACAGGTCAGTTAGTGGCGACTAGGTATTTTCTCATAGTTCTCACTCAACCAATGGGTAAATTTCAGGTGACTCTTCCTTATCCTGATTGGAAATAGGACTGATTTACTTATTTAGTCAGAGCTTTAGAGGCTAATGCAAGAATTTTTCTAGAAAAAAAAAAGTAGCTTTGCCTAGATAAAAATTCTGTTTGGTGACAAATATATATATATATATATATATATATATATATGTATATATATATATATATATATATATATATATACACACACACACACACATATGTATGTATGTATGTATGTGTGTATGTATATAAGAGGTATATACATGTGTGTGTGTATGTGTGTGTGTGTGCGTGTGTGTGTGTACCTCTCACCTTGGCCAAGCACACATATCCTGCTAATGGTGCATCACAACTACCAATGTCATATGTGACCCCTAGGGAACTTAAACACATACATGCTCTAGTATCATTTTTGCTTAATATTATTGAGGATTGACCTATCTTCCTGAATGTGTGAAATTTCTAGATGACTTGAGTTTAAAACCTTTAAGCATTGTTGTACATTTTCCAATTTGTTAATGAGAGTATTTCTGCAATATGTTACATATTTCCCTTCTTTATTAAGCAGAGTACACTTACTTTCACTAGCTATCACCCATACCTGGAATAGTCTCACCCTTCATTTCTACCTTTTAGCTTCACTGCTGGTTTCTTTCAAGTCTCAGCTAGTTATATCTTCTGTAAAAACCCTTTTCCAGTACTTAATCTTAGTGCCTTCCCTCTGAGACTACTTTCAATTCATCCTATATCTACACCCATCCCTATATCTATATCATCTAAACCTATATCATATATATCAGTCTATATCTTATTTGTATGTAGTTGTTCGCATAATATCTGCACCATTAAACTATGAGCTCCTTGAGATCTAAGACCATTTGTTTTGTTTTGTTTTGTTTTCTTTGTATATTCAGTGCTTAGCACAATATCTGATACATAGGTGTTTAATAAATTCTAGTTGACTGATTGGATTGATCTTTTGCTGATTTAGCTGTCATTAATTCAGCTCAATTTGATTGAAGAAGCATTTATGAAGCCCTACTGTCCATGGCTCTGTCCTACATACAGGGACCAAACCGCCTTCCCAGAATTTCCAGGGTATGCCCTATGTCTGCATATCAGGAAATGCTAGCTATTTTAGAAATGGAGAAAACATTAAGAATCAGGAATGTAATAAAAAACTTAGGATATGTCTTTTGAATATTTCCTTGTATCAGAGACCCAACTGACAGTCTGGTGAAGCCTATGGATTCATTCTACAAATTATGTGTTTTTTTTAAATAATTGGAGGAAATAATAAATTTGAGTTAGTGATGACTGAAAATAGTCGTTTTCCCCCTTCAAGCTCATGGATCTGCTGTTATCTATCCAAAACTACCAAAGTAGATAGGTACTATTTTATTTGTCTAATTCATTATTCTTCTGCCCCCTACTTTCTCAGCTGTCACTTTTCAGTGTGTCCACTTCCAGCGCTCTCTTGCCCCTTAGGTGGAAGTTTTCAGAGGGAATCGGAAGATCAAGATTCTTAACTCGGAAGGATTGATTTCACATATAATACCTAATCAATGCTTCTTGAGATAAGGAGATAATTTTTCTCCTTGGTTTAAAGTATTTCAACTTTTGGAGAGCAAGTCCATGGCACTTAGATACCATTTTTACTTAGCTTCACTTTCATGGCTTTATCCCCAAATGATTCAGGTTGCCAGAAGTGTGACCACTAAATAAGGTACTGTTTCAAATTGTTTCAAATTGTTTTGCTATTAATTTCTAGTCATTTACCAGCTTTGTAATTTGGGAAGAATAAATACCTTTCATTGTAACCATACCAGCAAATATTCAAATAGCTCCTAGTCTGTGGAAAATACTGTGCTAGGTGTTCAGGATAACACTAATGTAAACATGATTCAGTCACTGTCCATTGAGAAGTTTATAATTTATTTCTCTGAGAATGCACTTTGGCTTTATACTGGTTTCTTCTTTTGCTCTGTACATGGTTAGCTTTCCATCATTTGGATTCCATCATTGGATGAAAACATCTGTTTTTTTCCCCCCTGAGATTGTGATTTAATAGTAACAGGAACCTCTGGTGAGGTAGCTCCCTCTAAAAATGCATATTGGAAAGAATTACACAATTTACACATATAAAGGATTGCCTACAGAACTCAGTGGTTAGGTTGCAACAACAACAATAATAATAGAATTTATATACTACCTACATCTTAGACACTGTGCTAAGTGCTTTACAAATATCTTATTTTATCCTCACAACAACTCTGCAAGGTATATATTTTTATTATCATTTTACAGTTCAGGAAACCACACAGTGGTTAAGTGATTTGCCCTGTGTCACACAGCTGGTGTGTATCCTGACTTTAAGGTCAAGTTTCTTTCCATCATTTTACACTTCGATGTCTCCTCAGTTGGAATATATGTTCTTGAGAGTAAGGACTATTTTTTTTCCTCTCATCTTTGTATTCCTAGTACTTAGCTAGCACAATGCTTTATACATTGTTGTAGTTGTTAGTTGTTTCAGTTGTGTCCAACTCTTTATGACCCAATAGGCGGTTTTCTTGACAAAGATGGTGGAGTGATTTTCATTTCCCAGATCATTTTATAAATGAGGAACTAAGACAAACAGGATTAAGTGATTTGCTTAGGGTCACAAGCTAGAAAGTGTCTGAAGTCAGACTTGAACTCATGAAGATGAATCTTCCTTGACTTCAGGCTTGTACTCTATGTACTGTGCCACCTCACTGACCCAGTCCTCTTTATACAGACTAAATACTAAATAAAATTTGTTGGATTACATTAGATTGAATGGGATTGGAATGGATAAGACTAGATTGGATTTTATCAATCTTTACCCATTGACCATTTATTCTTTTTGGAGGTCAAACTAGTAATCCTAGTCCACAAGCCATCTTTAATTTTGTGAATATTTCCCAGATGTTATGGTAAATAGCCTAATATTTATATTCCACTTTTTTAGGATGATAGTAAGTCTTTCACTCTGCTATAGACCTTTGGAAGATGATTTCAAATTGTGACCGCATTGTGTCTACACTTGGACCCATTTATTTGAATAAAAAATTTGTTATAGAAATCCCTCTGAAGTCAGAGGACCCAAGTTTGAATCAGAGATCTGTGATTTACTAACTATATGACCTTCATGGAAATTTATGCAATAATAACCTTTCTGAGTTTCAGTTTCTTGATTTGTAAGATGAGTGCATTAGACTAGAAGATGTCTTTGAAGGCTATGATTCTTTGAAGGCTAGAGTAGATCAAATATACATTTCTTGAACTTCATTGCTAGCTTAGAAAATATTTTTACTTATATATAAATAGAAAGTTTTCTCTAACATTTATTTAATTGTTGTGTGGTAAATCACTCTCAACAGCAGGATGTCTGGATATTATTAGGTTAACTATTATTGATAGCAAACCAGTTAAAAAAGATGCATAGTGAGTAGCCTAAGAAATATCAAAGAGGCAAAATGGCAGTGGGTACCTGCAAGCTGATTTGCAGGGACAGTGAAGGAAAGATAAGGAAAAAGTAGATAGAGCCCTAGGCCTGGAATCAGGAAGGCTCATCTTCTTGAATTCAAATCTGGCCTCAGACACAGACTAGCTGTGTTTCCCTTAGAAGGGAAATACTTGTAAAGCAGCAATCATCAAAACTGCTTGGTACTGGCTAAGAAATAGAGTGGTGAATCAGTGGAATAGGTTAAATATGCAAGACACAGTAGTCAATGACTATAGTAATGTATTCTTTGATAAACCCAAAGACCCCAGATTCTGTGATAAGAACCCACTCTTTGAAAAAAACTGCTGTGAAAATTGGAAAAGAGTATGGCAGAAACTAGGCATAGACCAAAATCTCACACAATATACCAAAATAAAGTCAAAATTGGTTCATGATTTAGATATAAAGGCTGAAACTATAAGCAAACTGGGAGAGCAAGGAATAGCTTGCCTATCAGATTTATGGAGAACAGAAGAATTCATGACCAAACAACAGATAAAGAACATTATGAAAAGCAAAATGGATAATTTTGATTACATTAAATTGAATAGTTTTTGCACAAACAAAACCAATGCAACTAAAATTAGAAGGAAGGTAGAAAATTGGGAAAGAATTTTTACAACCAGTCTCTCTG